CTATTTGGCAAAGATAAATCAATCTCCTTTTTTGGTTGTGCAGTGCATTTCCTCATCTCCTGTATCTTTGCAGATTCTGAGTGTGTTCTACTTGCCATCATGATCTTTGTTCACTAACTGGCTGTCAGTAACCCCTTGCTCCACACATCCCACATGTCCATCAGGCTGTGTTCTATGCTGGCTGCTGGGGTTTACCTGGTGGGACTCACAGATGCTCTGATACACATCACACAGGCATTCTGCTTATGTTTCTGTGGGTCCAATGGATCAACCGTTTCTTCTGTGATTTGCCTCCACTTACTCTCTTTCCTGTTCTAAAAACAATGTGGGCTAATGGCTTCTTTTACAGAGAGGAAACTGATTATGCATGATTCACTTTACACATCCACAGAGACTTAGAGTGGCACTGAGTACTTCCCTCACGATGTGTTTGTAGCAACAAGGTTGTCCAAGAAAAACAGTTATTCTGACATAAAGGCAGAGTCTCCTGCTTTCTGAGGCACTGAACATCACTACCATTATAACCAGTATATTTTTTTAATGACCTGTCATCATTATCTATCTACCATGTACTACACACATATTTAAATACACTATTGCTATATCACACCTTTCTTCTGGAATTTCAGTGACATATAAAGAAAGGGGTCAGGGTATAGGGTCATGAAGATATTAATCCACTACACTATTATTAATTTTGTACTACTTGAACATTAATATTTGTTGTAAGTCATTGATGGATATGTGCAAAGGAAGTGATTTAAAGATACAAAGAGAAGATAAAGATGGCTATATGGGTAAGTAATCTAGCATAGTTTTAATTCTTTAGATGCTGTGTCTAGGTATACGAGCCAGAATTGACTACTGCACAAGTTGTGTTACCATAGACACCTAGTTCACACTTGAACCCTGTAGCTGCTGTAGTGTTGTTAACACACACACACACACAAACACACACACACACACACACACACACACACACACACACACACACCAGACCCTAGCTCTGTCACTGTCCAATGAACCCTCATGTGTTTACACCACTACCAATGAAGTAGGTGGGGGAAATTATACCCAGGCACTGTTGCCACAAAACCCCAGCTACTATCCCTGCCCAGTGCCCATCATTCCAAATCAGCTCTGTGTCTACTCCATGGGAGCCCCAGAGAGCAGTGTCCCTGCCTTCATGAGCTGGACCTGGTATCGCTAATGATCTCCTCACATGTGGCTTTGCAAATGAGAGGAAAGGAGACTGAGCCCTTTAGGAAATGTAGCCCTTGAATACTTCTCACTACTGCTCTGGACTCCCACTGATTATTTGCCCCAATGAGCCATGAAATGCATTCTTCCACTGACTTCAACAGGAAAAACTGCACAGAGGAAACGCCACGAATGCCACTGGAGGCAGAACCATCCTGGTCTCTTTGACAGAATGCTTACATGCTCCCATAACAGAAAATCTTTCCCCACTGAAACCAGCCGGTAAAACTGGAATGGAAGAACTAATCTATCAAAAGAGCAGCTATCAACATAAAACAGTTAAACAGAAACTTAGTTAAAGATAAAGGGAAAAAAGCAAAGAAACAGATATCACCAAAAAAATTCTAGTAACTTTCCTTGAAGAAAAAAATGTCTATATGCTTCCCAACTAATAACTCAAAATAATTTATCTAAAGAAACTCACAGAACTTTTTAAGGGAAACACAAAGAGATGATTTGATGAAACAATAAAAAACAAGCATTTGAACAGAAAGGTTGAAATTAGAAAGAAGGACCCACAGAAATGCTGGAGCAAAGAATACACAAAATGAAATAAAAAGGATGAGACAGAGAGAGAGAGAGAGAGAGAGAGAGAGAGAGAGAGAGAGAGAGACAGAGAGAGAGAGAGAGAGAGAGAGAGACAGAGACAGAGAGAGAGACAGAGACAGAGAGAGACAGAGAGAGAGACAGAGAGACAGAGACAGAGAGACAGAGAGAGACAGAGAAAGAAACAGAGACAGAGAGACAGAGAGACAGAGAGAGAGACAGAGAGAGAAAATCAACAGCAGAATTATGGAATCTGAAAGAATCTATGAACTTACTTGAAGATATAGAATTGAAGATGAAGAAACAAAGACAATAATGTAAAAACAATGAGGTAAATTTACATGGTTTGCACAACATCAAAAAAATAAGAATTTATACCATAGGAGTTAAAGAAAGAAAGGAAAAGGAAAAGGATAGTCAGGAACTCATTTAAAGACAGAACAGCTGAAAAAGCTACCATATTTGGAGAAAGACAAAAAAATTCAAGTGCATTGCAGTGAGTTCAAACTTTTTCCAAAATATTCTATCAAAAAGGACTACACTAAGACATATTTAGGATATGATTATTAGCTGTTTTTGAGCGATGAGAACAGCAATATGGCAGATAAGGAAACTTCTGACATTCATGGGTACTTCCTGGGCCTTACTCCTTGGAGCACTGCAGGAAATGGTTAGGGACACACAACTCAGTTATCTCTGGAAGGGACTCATAACTCACATGGCCAGTGGCTACTTAATGGTCTCATTTGTGAAGAATTTACACTGCAATTTAAGTGACCAAACAAATGGTAGCCTTATAGAAGAGAGAGAACACGGACCTCATGATCCTCTTTGGTTTGTCCTATTGATACTTTCAGACTTCCCCATTCTTTCTGTAAGGAAAATGGCAGAACATGAAGGCAATAGATGCCATAGTTTTCACCTAAGGGGTCATCTATTTAGTTACCTAACTCTAACATTGGTGAGCCTTTGCATTAGTGGATGATCTCAAACCACAGAAAATGAAGAAGTGGAGGTACAGTATCATAATGCACCTTAGCTAGAGAATAGAAATAAGCCAAATGTTCCCCAACTAGGGAAGGTATAGTCAAAATAGATTATATTCACAAAAGGAACATTCCATGAAAGTAAGGGTATCCAGACACATAAAACAACATGAGCGAACCTTGAAAATATTCAGGTAAATGAAAAAAGAGGGCTAAATACTCCATAATTCTGTCAGTGTGAGCTATTCAGAATGGACAGATATAAAGCTGTGGAAGAGATCAGTGATTTCCAGGGGTTGCAAGGTGAGAAGAAAGGAACATGCCTGCTAATAGATCTGAGTTTCTTTTTGGGGGTGATGGCAAATGTTCTGGAATTAAATAGTGGTGGTGGATGACAAACTTATGAAAATACTAACAAGCAAAGAAGTGTTTCTTTAGGAAGGTAAATATTTTAATGTAGTCATTATACCAAAACACAATAAATTACATCAAAACACAATAATATTGCTGAGATATTAAAGGACAGTGATCAAAAATGGGGTGAAGAATGGATGGCAGAAAAGAATTAATGATGATTATTGAGGAGATTTTTGGATTCATTAAAATTTTACTTTGACTGGAGAACTTTATACTACATTTTAGAGTTTAAAAGTAATTTACTGTTTTTTACCTAACATAATTTTGTTACAATTATGAGTGATTAAGTTCATCATAACTCAAGTTGATAGTGTATATGCAGGGCAAAATACAGCACTGAAGGTAAAATTAGTCACAGCAAAGCCTCAGGGAAATAATTAGAGTCCAAAGTCCCAAATGCTGTCTGATAAAATAAAATGCTGTTTTCCTAGAGTTCAGCTACCAAAGACCTGCCTGTCTCAGGTATGTTCATAAGGACACTGACTTAGAAACACAGAGTGAAAAGGAACTAAACAAACTGCCATTTTAGAAAAAGAATGTGAGAAACTATAAAATGAGTCATTTTATGTTTTTTCATTTTAATATTTCCTCCTATGTAATGTCTAGTATGGATATATATCTATGCATCTGTGTATCTTTGTATCTATGTATATATATATGTAGATAGATTATATATCTATATATATTTCATCAGAATTGAAAGATTCTGACTGAATTTAATAGTACTCACAAAATAATATTTCAATTTTTTTGTTTTAGTCTAGTGACATAGGAGAGTCCTTATCTTACTGTGTTCATCACATATGTGAGTTTCACGTATTTTTTCTTTTATTTCAAAACTAATTCAATTGGCATATTAAAAATAGCATTCATAAATTTAATCCTGTGTGAATCATAGACTATAATTTATTAAAAATATCAAAATGTATCATCCACACTTCAGTTCTCATATCAACAGGGAAACATAAAACTACACTTATATAAAAGGTAGAGAAACTTTAACATCTCAAAAATATATATTTTTTTCTTCTATTTTAAATTTTTAGCATGCAAGTATTCTTAACTCAGTGAACTGCAAGTATACAGCCAAATGTTTTGCTTCTTGTTTTTTTCCCTTTGGACAAATCTAGTTATTTTGTAACAGCAAATTGCTATATACAGTTAATTAGTATTATAACAAAATCTTAATAGATTTCTAAATCAAAGGTAAATGAAAATTATTTCTCTCATAATATGTTAAGGAAAACATAGACCAATGAAAGTACCACAGTGTTTTAATATTAGGCAGTAATATGTTCTGTATTTCTAGAACCACTTTTGAACAAATCGTGAGGTTTAGGAATGTAATAAAATAAATTTTATATAAATGTAGAAAATCTAAAGAAGATTTACTGAAGCATTTAAACCTTTGTCTCTGTAGTATTTTTTTATTCAGTATTACTTTAAAAATCAAGCATGACTTCAAATTATCCTCATATAGTCCATGAAATAAGGAAATAAATATCAACCAAATTGTTGAAAGACACATCTATCATGAAGACTGTGTAGATTTACAACAAATTGAGATACTAAATTTTTATCTTTTTTGTCAAATAGATGAAAATAGTTTTTAAAACAAAGCATGAACAGGCATTTAAAAATGGTTTTTAAAACAACATGACCAGTATAAATATGACAATGAAGAAAAAATTATAGGTCTGTCTTATATACTTTATTGATATCCAGAAATGAAATATCTGACCTTATAATTTTTTTATGATTTCTCCCCAAATTTAGACAAGAAACCCAACAATGGACCAAGGGAATTGCTCCTCATTGACTAAATTCATTTTAGTGGGAATTACTAATAAATTTGGGATGAAAATGACACTATTTACCATATTTCTATTCATTTATCTCATTAATCTTCTGGGAAATCTTGGAATGGTCATTTTAATTAGAATGGACAGCCAGCTCCACACACCAATGTACTTTTTCCTCAGCAACCTCTCTTTCTGTGACCTCTGCTATTCTACAGCAGTTGGACCCAAGATGCTGGTTGATATTTTTGGCAAGGATAAATCAATTTCTTTTTTTGGTTGCACTCTGCAGCTCTTCATTTGCTGTACCTTTATAGACTCTGAGTGCATACTGCTGGCAGTGATGGCGTTTGACCGGTACAAGGCCATCAGCGACCCCTTGCTCTACACAGCCCACATGTCGAGCAGGCTGTGTTCCCTGCTCGTGGCTGCGGTTTACCTGATGGGAATGGCAGATGCTGTCATCCACACAACGTTAACATTCCGCTTATGTTTCTGTGGTTCTAATGAGATTGATCATTTCTTCTGTGATATCCCACCTATCTTATTACTGTCTTGCTCAGACACACAGATCAATGAGTTAGCCATATTTACAATTTTTGGATTCATTGAACTGAGCACCATATCGGGAGTGCTGGTCTCCTATTGCTATATCATTTTATTCATCTTAATGATCCGCTCTGCTGAGGGACGGTGCAAAGCTTTATCCACCTGCACCTCCCACCTCACTGCAGTCGCCATCTTCCAGGGAACCATGCTCTTCATGTACTTCCAGCCCAGTGCATCTTATTCCTTGGAGCAGGACAAAATGACCTCACTGTTTTACACCCTTGTGATCCCCACCTTGAATCCACTGATTTACAGTTTAAGGAATAAGGATGTGAAAGTGTCCATTGAAAAACTGAAAAATAAAAGGTGGTTTTAAATACATAGTATAGATCAAAACTTTCCCCCCACATACATAGTGATTTTTTGGTCTCCTAATAGTCTACAGTAATGGATAAAAAACAAATTCTTCCAACCCCTTTAATTAGTTACAATGAGTATTTATGCTAAAACTTATTTTTATTATTATTCTTGTGTGAATATTTCTTTTATCCTCACATGCTTCATTCTCTGTCTGAAATTTATGCATGGTATTAATTCTCTGTAGGAAAATTTTTGATATGTCTAATATTACCAGAATTTTTAGTTGCTCATTTTGTCATTTGGCATTAGTTTTTTTATATTAAATTTTGTCAAGTTTTCACTGAATGCTTTTGTGTATTTAAGAGTTTCATTTTCATGATAAACTCAGTGGTTTTCAAACTAATGAATCCTCTAAGTGAAAGGAACAGATATTAATTAAGCAATCAAATTGTTCATAATAAACTTTAAATTCTTTATCAAATAAATAGGTTGAAGTAAATAAATCAAGGTCAAATGTTGAATTTCACAGTGCAGAAGAGAAATATCCTTGTACCTATACATTCAGTCTCAGTAATAAATGCACATTGGGGAAATGGAAGGATTCTAGGCAAAGCATCCAATAGTTACAAATATCTTTAGGTGAAGAAGCTTATTTCTTTTAAAATGTGGATAGAAGCTAAAGAGTGATAAAAACAGCCTTGATAGAGATGCCCATGAGTGTTGCTACTAACTATAGAATCAGCATAATTATCTCCAGAAACTCCCTTTGTAACCAGATTCTATGCTTCTTAAAAGTCCCTGAAGAATAGTTTACAGACAACTGTCCCCTTAAGGGATTGTCTTAGCATAACCCTGTACATGTCTGAGAGGATTATTTCCAATATAAGACCGTCAGGGCTCTGTTTTTCAAAAACTGGGTGTTTCACCCCATAATCTAACGCATCTGCACTGGGCTTGTGACCAGAAACAATTAAATGAAAGATTTAGATATTTGAGTATTACCAGGGTGTTACTTAAAGGAAGGCAACTTCCTATAGTAGATGCTTTGATATTTATATTAAGATTGGGAAGTTCAGGCAATATATCTATAATAATTTACACAATAATTGCAGGGGGAAAAGGAATGTTAATGCCTGTTTGCAATACTTGTCTACTTCATCTTCTTTTGATGTAACTTCTCAATTACTAAATTACTGTATCACTTGTTGAGAAAACTTGGGCACGGGCATTTTATTTGAAGTAACAACAGTGTATGATCAAAGGGACTTTCAATTATCTATTAGAATTGCAAAGGCTGAAAGCCAATGAATATTTTATGTTTTTCAGTTGTGAGTTTCATAGTATAATTCATACTCTTTTGGGAATCATTAAGTATGAGCAGCAATATGAAAGAAAACATGTAAACTATTACAAGTACAGATACAATAGAGTTATATTGTGAATTTCCACTTACACAGAGGCTTCGGGGGAGGAAATAAAAACTGATTTAAGCTGCATTATGTACCAGCAACAATTACACACCAGGAACATAAAATTATACTCTGAAAACGAACTAAAAAAGTAAAACCACATCATCTAACTCATCCATCTCATTCCAGTAAAACACACATTACGCTTTTAAATACTGATTTGTCTGTTGGCTGTGTTATTAGATATTGTTGCTGTGAACTAAGGAGAATAAAATCATAAGTTTTATTACTGAAAGTCTAAAAATAGAATTGATTGTTTAAATTGTAATCATCTTTCTCCCTGAATTTTTGAGCTTAATAACAAGAAATTACTTGGCATGTATAAGGAGATTCTCAGGACAAAAAAATGCTGCTGTATGTAGATATTCTCTCAGTATCTCTGAATCATTTCCTTCTAACAAGTTAGCCAGTGTTTTATGACAAATATCATTGTACAAATAAAATATCATCTGTCGCTCTGTATGGTGCATTAGTGTTACAGGTCATGTGCTGTATTTTGATCCTTTCTACTGTTCTTGCCACTGGAATCCCAGCACAGGCATGTGACATGGCAGGGCACACTTGAGAACATATGTGACACACAGCTGACAACCAAGTGCAGTTGGTGGGCTGCGCATGAACATTGACTAGAACAGGGCAACTGTGCTCTTCGGTCACATGGCGAGCAGTGGGCTCTGCATCTCTGTCAGGCACAGGAGCTACTGCTCCCCTTCATAAGTTTATAAAAACACATTATGAAAGGTACAGCCAGCCTTGCTCTAACTTTCTGTGTTACATAAAAATGATTATTTCTAGAACTCAAGCTCTCTCTAGAGAAGAGGAAATTAACTTTCATTATTTCTGAGGTCTTTTTGACTTCGAATGTCTGAGATTTTTTTCCAGCTGACTTTTCTGTGTCTGTGAATTATGATTGCGCTACTGTGTAAACCACTCTTTGCTCTTAAAAACACCTGAAAAACTAAAGGATGAGCTGCTTAATCTGCAAACAAATGACTTACACTGCATCTCTGGGATGTTCTGACCAGGAGCAGTCCTGACACTGGGGCCAGCTGGGATAATATGAATTTCACAAGGCCAGAAACCTGTGCTCCTTTAATCAGATGTCTTCAGTATTTAAAGACTGATGCAAAGAGCCTTGGCAAAGGAACTTGAAATTTCAGAGTTGTGGCATTCAACATTACTAGTGCTCAAGTAATTAAAAATTAAAACTTCAGTGCAATATTAAGTCTGACCTAAGAAATGATGAAAATGAAAGTGGAAATTTAGTTCAGTGGCATAAGTGTATTCTTAACAAGCGCAAGGTTGTGTGCTCTATCTCTGGTACACACAAAAAAAATGATAAGACAAAGAGAAATAAAGAAAGAAAATGAAGCAATTGACAAATCAACTATTTTATATATCTGTCTAGAAATATCTACCGCACAGGAGTACTCAGCAACCTCAAAATCCAATCTCTAGATTTATACCCAATAAATGAGGGACTGTGTCTTACCAAAGACATGTGAAATATTCACTGTTGTGTTATTTTGCAGTATTATGTTCCAAACAACACAGATATTATCAACCTATTGGATCAGTATTGTTGACAAATACTGAAAAAACCATAAAATATATTTTAGGATTTTCAATTCATAAAACTGTGTGAGGATTTGCTCTTATATCATAAGAACAATCACAGGCTATATATTAATAAAAGGTTATTTCTTCATTCTAGTAAACTAATGGGCCCTTTGTTGATTTCTGATTTTAGATAAATTATCATACATTTACACTTTGGAATGTTACATAAGAAAAAGAATAAATGAACTACTTTTATACACATTAGGGTAGAATTTTTTAAAAATAACATTGAATGAAAGGAAAGAAATATAAAAGTGGAAAAAAGATACAACTCTGTAAATGTCAACAGAAATATTCAGATAACCAAAATATAGGACATTTGCCATGAATATGAGGTTATTTTTTAGAGTTCTAGAAATCATCTTTTATTCACCTGATTTTCAGAAAAAAGATATTTTTCCTTTTGAACGTTTACTTAAAATATGGTTTTTAATAGATAATTTTCAATTTGTACATTTTAGTTAAAGATTTTTTCTTATAAATATGTTTTTACTATTCCACTGTAAGTAATGTAAGTTTTTTAAAATGTAGCCTTCAACTGTATAGACTGAGTTGAAGACAGATTTTAAAATTAATGTGGTACACAAATTTCATACACTAGCTCAGTAGGTGATCTTTATGTTAGTGGGAACTTCCAGGTTGTGGAACACCTTTATCATATGCCAGGCCTTTCTACATTTCTTTCCATCACCAAGGAGATCTGAGGTGCTGGGATCAGGAAGCAACAGTGAACTATGTCTGGAACACGCCATGATTCAGGGTCAGACAACTATTTCCTGAAGATGACTTGATAGGCAATCAGATGTCTCAATGGTAATATGTTACTATGGGTCCCAGGGAAATTTTAACATAAGATACTTTTTTCTGACTTGATTAAGTCTTATAAGTAAAATGTTTAAAAATATTTAAGGAAATTTAAAAATGACATTCTGAAATAAAATACAAACCACTATTTAAATTTGATCATGTAATATGATTATTAATGGCATAAGCTCAGATTCTAAATTATGCTCTAGGGAAGACAATCTGTTTAATCAGCTAAAGGAGTTTAACTGCTCAATAAATGCTACATATGGATGAACCTCAAAAAGACTGACCTAAGTGAAAGAAGCTGTATGCAGAGAGGGGGGTATTGTATGATCCAGTAATGATCATCTAGAACAGGTAGAGCTATGGAGGCACAAGAGGGATGGATACCTTGGTAGTGTGGTGATCATCATAGTAAATAACAGTGAAGCACAAAAATACATGGAACACTGTTCATAAATCATTTTCCAGAGCATCAACAGCATCCTGATGTGACTGGTACTATGTTGATGAGCTTCCCCTGTTCATTGAGAGCAATGTGGGTGGGTGGGGGAACCAAGAAACAAATGCACATGGTTTATACCTGGATGTCCCCTCAAAGCCTCAGACCTGCAGAATTGGGACTCCCAGAAGGTGACAGTTCATAGGGGCAATATGTCCATCGCTGGATCAGTCCACAGATGAATCTAGGGCTAAATCTGAGACTGTGGTGGGGTCTTCCTGAAGAGGCGGTGACCAGGAGCCAGACCTGGGAAGCTTCATCTCCCATCCAGCTCCTGTTCCCGTTCTCTGCTTCTTGGGCATCATCTCATGAGCAGCATTGCTACTATCTCTCATCATACTGCCTCTGCCAGATTCAGCAGACAGTCGATGAATGGAACTTATAAAATGTGAGCCAAGATAAATGCATCCTCCTTGAAGGTGTAGGAGTTTGACATTGTGTCCTCAAAACCAAAAAGAAGAATGTGACTAAGACAGCACACACACATATGCACGCACACACGCATGCCTGCACACATGAGCAGACAATGTTTATGCTGCAATTAATTCCCAGGTGGAGTTTGAGATGGAAGAAATTATCTAAATTACTCATTGCATAAAATGGACTATGCCAGCTCTGCCTCTTGCATTTATTTTGTCTCTTTGTGTTGGTTAACCTAATGACTTTATGCATTATGGCTCAAAACATATACCTTATGTGCATAATT